CTCCCCGATCGAAAAGCCCGGGACCACATTAGGGTCGTAAAGCAAGGTTGTCGTCTGTAGTCGAACACACCAAGGAATTTCACAACCTGGTCAGCTGAGTCGACTGACCAGAAGATATTCTAGTGTGCTGGTTCAAAGATGAACCCAACGGTGACCTGTACACTGACTGCCTGGCCCTTTGGGCCCCTAACCTTCTGCATTAATGGTACCTGATGGCAGAGGAGGCAGAGATCAACATGGTCCGTAAACAGTACCACAGAGGCCGGGTTTGGAGAAGATCCCCACCCCAGGGGAAGCGGGAGTTTTTCAAATCCCAAATCACTTTGACTCCAAGACTATCTGGCTGTTTTAAGTGTGGAAAGGAGGGGCACTGTGCAGCAGAGTGCCGTTCAAAAACCCCTGCCAGAAAGCCAGACCACCCATCAGGGGGAAACTTGGAAAATCAAACCCCCAAGGAAAAGAAACCACCCTGAGAAGCTGAGAAGCCGTGAAGTTTCGGTTCCCGCCCACAAACCAGAGGAAGAATCTCCAATGCCCCAAGGAGATCTGAGCCAATCTAAAAGCGATCTGGAAGACGACACACTGGTAAGCGACCTAATTGAACCACTCACTCTACCCCTAAGACTGTTTATCCCCAGCTGAGGGAAGGGGGAGGAAGTAGCAGCATTACTGGATTCGGATGCACCTGGTGCCTAATCAATTCCATCCTTGTAGGAAAATTGGGAATCCGCCTAAGAAAAATGGAAAACTCCATTGCTTTTTACCAATTAGACAGGACTATAGGAGGGGTGAGGCCAAACAGTTTTGCCACAGAACCATTGCAAATAGAACTGGCCAACCATAGCGAGGCACTCATGTTCATTGTAGCCCCGGGAATGGAAGGACCACTATTCCTAGGACTCACATGGCTACAGAAATGGAATCCAAAAATGAACTGGAAGAGAAAAAAAAAGTCCTTTAGAGAGGTGAGCTGGCATGTCCTTCATGAGGGGGGGTGGGTACATATTTTCCACACTGATGGTATTTAATTTACAGAAATCAAGCAGAGGCATAGGGTGCCATCTTTCTTTTCATGTAACAATACTGGGGCTGCTATTTTCGGTCGGATAGGTTCAATCAAACCCTGTTTTAGATTTTTATTGATAAAGGCTCTGAGTTCATTTAGTTCTCTAGGGCAGGGGTCCCCAACCACCGGGCCGCGGACCGGGACCGGTCCGTGGATCACTTTGCACCGGGCCGCAAAGAAAATAAAAATAAAATAAAAATGGCAGCTTTCTTCGCCTTCGGTGAATGCTGCTGGGATCAGGGATCAAGGACACAAATAAAAGAAGGGGAGGGAGGAAGCCTGTCCTACTCTCTGGCTCAGTGGCTTCGGTGTCCTCCCGCCTTGTTCCTCTCTCAGTCGCTCTCTCGCTCCTCCACCAGCCCAGGAAGAAACTGCTTCAAAGAAGCCGGCAGGGTGGCTTTTCCTGTCGGCGCAGCTCCCCCGAAGCGCCCACCCCGCCGCCATTCAATCCAGGTTCAATCCAGTGCTCCGTTCTGCCTGCCTGCCTGCCTTCGTTTCTGGTTGTTTTGGAGCAGCTTCGGCTGAGAATAATAACTATTCGCCTCTTTTACTCAGCCGAAGCTGCTCCGAAACAACCAGAAACGAAGGCAGGCAGGCAGGCAGGCAGAACGGAGCACTGGATTGAACCGTGGGCGGCAGGGTGGGGGTGAACGGGCGCTTCGGAAGAGCTGCGCCGACAGGAAAAGCCACCCTGCCGGCTTCTTTGAAGCAGTTTCTTCCTGGGCTGGTGGAGGAGCGAGAGAGCGACTGAGAGAGGAACGAGGCAGACACCTGAGGGATGAGGCTGAGGGAGGGAGGGAGACACCTGAGGGATGAGGCTGAGGGAGGCAGGGCCGAGAGGGGCTTCTCAGCCATCCTGCAGGGACTTGTCCTGAGCCGTGGAGACAGCTGTGGGCCGCCACCGCCCAGCGCTCAGTTTTGAAGGCGCTCCTCAGCCCGGCGCAGTTCCTGAATCTGCAGCTGAAACCCTCCATTTTAAATGTCCCAATAGAAGAGAATATCTGTCGCTCAGGGTTGCAATGAGGAGGCATTGGCGCTCCCTGAACTTGGTGGTTTGCTGGCAGACGTTTTATTACCCGACTAGGTAACAACATCAGATGTTACCTAGTCAGGTAATGAAACGTCTGCAAGCAAACCACCAAACTCGGACTCCCCCCCCCCCCCCCGGTCCTTGAAAAAGTGTTTCTGCGTGAAACTGGTCCCTGGCACAAAAAAGGTTGGGGACCACTGCTCTAGGGGACATGCAGTACATTTTTGGTTTTGGAAGTTTAGCCCCAGGCAGGATTTCAATGGCACAGTCATGACCACTATTGCAGACCCTCTTATTGTAAGGGCCCAGACTCTCTCCCCTTCAAACGATAAGAATGAACTTCTGAAAACTGTGTATTTCAAAAGGAATTCTTTATTGAAAAAGAAGTTATCCAGGTAAGTCAAAGCAGGATTTAATATGCCACCAGGCATGCAGCATAGCTAAAGGGTGTTAGAACCCCTCCCCTTAGTCTGTTGTGGATTTCATCAATACAAAGAAGCAACATGTTTATTCCCCCCTCCCTTTTTCCCCCCTGAGAACGTAGTTGAGAAAAGTTTCCCAGGAAGTTTCTTTCAGAGATGGAATTTTTATGGCCCCTTCTCCTCTTGCTATCTCTCCAAGAGGTGACAAGTTTCCAGGCATCTGGGCTCAAGTCCCAGTTGTATATCATGTGCAAGTTATACAGATTCAATACAAGAATTAAGATATTCAGGTTACATCAAAAAGGATTACTTGTACCAACTCCCCCCACATCTTCCATTGAAGAATGGCAGATACACGGATCTGACAATGGACTTTTTTGCTTATAAGTCCATTGCTAATATGGCGAGTTCTATTAGTATAAATTAAATATGTTTGTTTAATCAATTCAGCTTAATATTTGTGTACTTACTAATTAAATTATTTAATCTGTTTGCTAAAAATCCTGCGATGATTTTATCATCTGCATTGAAAGCTGGTCTATACAGCTTAAGCATTTGTTGTATAATTTCCCTTCCTAAAAATTAATGCTGTAAACTTTTTCTTTAGTTCCATGGATATAGAATCTCTCTGCTATACATTTTCATTAATTAATATTATTTTAACTTTATAGTTTTGAATCCTTTCCTTTTTAACTAGCTACTTTTTCTCGATAATACTCCTATATTTGCATTTAGATTTTCATTATCCTCCTGACAGAATTTAGTATCTGTAACTTATTTTTAAAAGTACTTTATTTCCTTGGTTTATGCTAATTTTCATTAAGACATATATTTTTTTCATTTATTCACCCTTAATACTATTCATTTAATTGGAAGAATTAATTATACCACATAGTGAATTCAGGTTTGGTTTTTCTGCTAATTGTCAAGCTAATGAATTACTTTGTTTGATTCCATTTTCAAATAATCTTTATTTAATGAAAGCTATGAATTTATCTGCATTTTATGATCCATTAAATATATTGTTTTCTTAAGTTTCAAACTGCTTCATATATGTATATAACTACAGAGTGGTTTCTTTTAAGTTGTTCCTGCATTGCTTTATATTTTTTATTATTTGATTTATAGTTTCCTTATTTTCTCCCTATCATTAGATGTTTTTTCTAAATTTTTCTCACTACAGTAATATTTCAAAAGCACAGCAGCACCTAATTAATGGGATAATCTAAAAAAGTTAATGAGGATCAAAATCTAATTGTTACTTGAATAGGATACCACAAGAACAGTATTATAGACTAAACTAGGAAATTGGACATATATTGGGGAAAAATGCCATTTTATTGCTAAGAAAACAACATTGAAATGTTCATGTAATCAGCACAAATCAAACTCTACTTGAGAGCGACTTAAAATTGTCATGATCATTTATTCACCATGATATTGAACAAATTCCTCTGTGTTGAAGTTTACTTTGATTTTAAATTTTTGCAAAATCATTACATCTTTGTTTGAAGAAGATTTGGGCAATTATACATGTCATATACTAGAAATTACCACTAATTATAATCCAGCAAATACAAATAGTCTGGATTTCATTAGCAAGCATGGCTACCAGAATAATAATTAAAATCTTATTTAATTTTTAATTCATCTGAAGTTTAGTTAAACTTAACTTAAGGAGCAAATGGTTATATCAAATAAACAAATGTTTCAAATCTACACATTTATGTAGATTTATTTGCATATACATGTAACTAGAAGTACCAGCTAGGATCAGATGCAGCTGCTACATTATTAACTATGTGACGCTGCTCTGAAGAGTAATTATTCTCATTTCTAGTAAAACATTGAAGATGTTTTGCTTTTGCGATCATGAGCTTTATAGGAGCTAGAATTTTCTGTGTTCCATTGAGATGAAAAATATGGTAACATTTGGACAACACATGTATATATAGAAAGAATATCAGATGTTCTCCTCACCAATTCTTCAGAATTCCGCTCATTTCTTTTTCTTTCAAGTGTACCCACACATACAGAACTGTAGCTCTTCATATCAGACAGACATTTTCATAAATTTTGGGAGCAGTTTTATGTGCAGCATACCCAGTTGTTGTAAAAAGGATTTAAGAAAACATGTTATAGGAATTCTGCTTGAAATATTTTGCATTTGAGCTTTTGCTAAGGAGAAGTAAGGCTGTAATCCAGTGAGCAAAATAGTACTGTAGCTTCAGAACAAATATCTTTCTTCCATTCATTTTTACTCTACAGAGAAGCTTTCTCAAATGATTTGAGAAGTTTCCTAGAAGTTTGTAATTTTTTTTTGCCAAAAGTCATTCTTTGAGTAAAATGACTTTTGGCAAAAAAAAAAAAAAAAATTAATAGAATTAAGCTTAATAGAATATAAACTGCTTAACAATTGGATTTCTAAGAATCCTAATACTGCTAGAAACAATGTCAGAATCTGAAAGCACAAGATACTTACTGACACAGAGGACTTCAAAATATAGTGATTAGCATGTGAAGTTCCTGGAACAAAATCAGCTGGCTGTCCCACAGTTGGATCACTACTCCTTCTAACCAAAAGTGGAGTACCTAGAGAGAAAAAATATATTTACTTAATTAGAATTACTTTAGAATCATTCACTTTTATAACGCTATATATTTATGATGGCTTCCGTGAATGCTTCTCCAGATGACAGTTCAGATGAAGAAGAGCTGGTTCCAGGGATTTTGGGGGAAGATGTGGAGGCACATTAGGAGATTGCCTGAAGTGCCAAGACAGAAACAGCAAGGCCAGGCACAGTGGAGCAGTTGCAGGAGGACAACCAGGCAAGCAGCTGGCTGAACTAGAGTCAGGAGAGACACAGCTGCAGCTGGGAAGCCCATAGATTTTGGGCAGAGGGAGCGCAGCAGCATCTTCCTCCTCAAGATCTGAGAGCACATAGGGCTAAGGAGGAAGATGCAATGAAAGTCAGCCAGGCTACTTGTGAGGTACTACCCTCACCCCACTTTTAGGCTGTACCATGGAGCAGCTATTTAGCTTAGCACATGGAAGGAAATTATGCTGGGAACAACTCATCAATGAACTGCTGTGTGTTCTTCAGCCGCTGTGATTTTTGATGTGCTCCCGGACCTGGATTCTGTACCTTGGACTTTGGATCATGCCTCTTGAACTGTGGACATGGCTTGCGGACTTGCCTTTGCCCTGTGGATTTATGCTGGGTTTTTCCTGGACTAGATTATTAAACCTCTTGGGGACTGCACTAGTGTTGAAATTTCTGGGGAAAACTATTCATGGCTTGGGAAGCCTCAGTAAAGACTTTTAACACCCATGGAGTTTGCATGTGTGAGGACAATATAAGGACTTATGAATAACTTACAAAACAATCAAATCTTACTTTTTTAATATGAAAAGAAAACAAAAATTGAGTGAGATTTCCAAATATGTTAGAGAAAGAAAGAAAACATTTCTGTGTCAATAAAATCCATAATGTATAGCATACACAGTTGTAAAAAGGATTTAATAAAGCATATTACATTAGTGGATCAGTCATCAAGATTAGCAGCCTGTGATAAGCAGATTCTCTATTATTTAGTCCAATCTCCTTTTAAAAGGAATAGGTTGCAATCATATCTAATATTAAAAGTTAGAAGTTTCACTATCTGTTATCAAGAAATGTTCTATTTTATCAGTTCTAAAACTCCTTATATTAATTTTTAATGGCTGGTGCTGTGTTTTAATATTGTAACAGGGAGAAAATATTCATTCTCCATGAATGTAGAATCATGAATCTAGACAGTCTGAAATACTAAATAATTATAAATTAGTAAATAAAATTAATAGTAAATAATTATTTATAAAATGTATATGTCACAGTGATTCTGGTCAGTTTACAATTGTTAAAAACATGTAAGAAAGAAAAACCCAGCACAAGACAAAAGAACAATAATGGCAAAACAAAAAAACTTCAGAAATGAACACAAACATAAATACTGAACATACTGAAGTTGCTGATGACACAACAGTGATTGGTCTCATTCGAGACAACAATGAATCTGCGTACAGACAGGAGGTTATACAACTTGCCTCGTGGTGTAACCAGAACAATCTGGAATTGAACACACTCAAAACCGTAGAAATGGTGGTAGACTTTAGAAGAAACCCTCCCATACTACCACCTCTTACAATACTAGACAACACAGTATCAACAGTAGAGACCTTCAAATTTCTAGGTTCTACTATATCACATGACCTAAAATGGACACCTAACATCAAAAACATCATCAAAAAAGCACAACAAAGGATGTTCTTTCTGTGCCAACCCAGAAAGCTCAAACTGCCCAAGAAGCTGCTGATACAGTTCTACAGAGGAATTATTGAGTCTATCATCTGCACCAATATAATTGTCTGCTTTGGTTCTGCAACCCAACAGGACAGACACAGACTTCAGAGGATAATTAGGACTGCAGAAAAAACAATTACTACTCACCTGCCTTCAATCGAGGACCTGTATACTGCACGAGTCAAAAAGAGGGCTGTGAAAATATTTACAGACCCCTCACATCCGGGACATAAACTGTTTCAACTCCTTCCCTCAAAACGACGCTATAAAGCACTGCACACCAGAACAGCTAGACACAAGAACAGTTTTTGCCCGAAAGCCATCACTCTGCTAAACAAATAATTCCCTCAACACTGTTCAACTATTTACAAAGTGTACACTACTATTACTGTTAATCTGCTCATCACTCATCACCTCCCACTTGTGATTGGTTGCTTGTATCCTTACGATTTATATTGACTGTTTCCTAGTGTGATTTGATCATTGATTGTACCCTATGACTATCATTAAGTGTTGTACGTTATGATTCTTGATTCTTAACGAATGTACCTTTTCTTTATGTATACTGAGAGTATTTACACCAAGACAAATTCCTTGTGTGTCCAATCACACTTGGCCAATAAAGTATTCTATTCTATTCTATTCTATTCTATTCTATTCTATTCTATTCTATTCTATTCTATTCTATTCTAAAGGAAGTAAGGGGCATCAATCATCCTTGTAAAAGGCAGGCTAAAGAGCCATGTGTTTAGTGGTCTTCAAAGTATCAGTAAGATGGGAACTGCTTTTTGTTTGTTTGTTTTTTGGAGGGGAGAGATCTGAATCAAAAAACAAGCATTGCTACAGCAAAGGTGTACTTCCAGGGACCAAGAAAATGGTATTGTTTAATTCAGTGATCCCCAACCTTTTTTATGCCGCGGCCTGGTACCGGCATCAGCTGGGCGCCGCGGCCCGGTACCGGCATCAGCTGGGCGCCGCCATCTTTTTTTGATGAAAAAGTGCTTCCGGTGAGCTTTCTACCCGGAAAAGCTCACCGGAAGCACTTTTTCATCAAAAAAAGATGGCGGCGCCCAGCAAGCCAGCGGCCCGGTAGGACTTGTTCCACGGACCGGTACCGGTCCGCGGACCGGTGGTTGGGGACCCCTGGTTTAATTGATGGAACTGCACCATGTTAACTTTGACTGAAATAATTAGATAAAGCATGTGCATGTGAGAAATTTGGGGCAGAATATAGAATACTGGAATACATATGTTGTACATGCATTTAAAATAAACAATTTGTCCTATGTATCCCATTATTAAAAAGTCCTCTATTCCTCTACCTCTATACTGTACTGATAAAATTGTCCTTTCTACATACATGAACCTTTCTCTCATAATATTTTAATGATGCATTGTCATAATCCTATCTATTCTTAGTTCCCATAGCATTTCTCTACTCAACTGGTTTAATTATAATATCTGGATCCTTAGCCAACTGGCATAAAATCTCAAACTTTTCTCTATGTAAATTATGCCAATATAGATTGTTCATGTTTTCATTCCTTCAAAATCAATTTCTCAACAATCTGTGCATCAGGAGATACAACTCCCTGAATGTTAAACATATATTTAGACTTGAAAATACTGTAATGCTGCATAGAAGTAGACAGTCTGTTTTTAAAATACTATTTTAGCTTGATGCTTTTCTAAACAAGAGCCAACTCAAATTTCTGATGTCTTGGTAGGAGAAAATAGTCCTTTTCTGAACAATTCCATTTTATTTTGCTTTGACATCTTAAATGAAAAATTCACTGGTTCATTTTTTTTCTTTCCCTTCTGCCTTCTTGTTACTATTTATATATTTAGTATTAAGTACATCATATAGTGGGGCTGAACAAAATCTGGAAAACCATTAGATGACCACAAACAGTCAGAGGTGCATGAAAAGAATGGCATAGTCTGAATACTGGATCACCTTATTCTGACTTGACTTGCAGAATAACAAATCATAAAAAGAACTATTCAAACAGGACAAAATTCAGGTCTTGGAGATATTTATCAATATATAAACAACATGTACAGAAGTTATCAACATGTAGATTTTTTATTGTAATCATATTTACTTTCCTGTATATTTAGTGTTAGATCTTTTGCAATTACCTCCAAAAGATCCAGTTTTTTCTTAACACTAAGTAGGGTTAATTTATATGTAATTTAAAAAAAATCATATGGAATCCTAATCATACACAAATAGGATAACATGTTTTTAATTCACATTGAAGAACAAAATTGTTATAATGAAGTGTAAAATGGAGCCAAACAGACCTTAAGAAAATAGACAATAATGGAGAAGGCGGAGCTACGTCGCCGCGCTACAGCTGTAATTTCGGGACAAAAGAACATATAGATTGGAAACCAGAGATTTTTCTATTGGGAATCTTACCTAATACATTTAATAAAAACTTAAAGTATTTGATTGTAAATGTGTTAACAGCGGCTAGGATTGTATTTGCTAAAAATTGGAAGAGTGAGAAAATACCATTAGAGGAAGAAATTATTAAGAAAATACTGGATTGTGCTGAAATGAGTAGATTGACATTTGAAATTAGAGAACAAGAAGATAAACAATTTTATGAAGTTTGGGATCTTTTTTATCAATGGTTAGATAATACAATATAATAATAGAATATTTAGAAACCTAGGAAATAATGAATATACATTTTTTTTAATAACATTTTTAGAATATTTTATTAAGATAGATTTGGTATGATTTTATGATTTGTTATAAAATAAATTAACTAAATTATAGTTATCTCGCTTAAGTATGAATTAGTAAAATTATAGTCAAATGATTGTTTAATAATGATATTAGGATATATAATTGTTGATTGATAATATGAGTTATTATGTAACATAATTATTATGATGACTATGAAATGGATGCACAAAAAGGAGTGGTAAACCAACCGATACACTGTCTGTAAATTTATGAAGAATGATGATGTTCTTATGTTATGTTTTATGTTTTATGTGTTTTTATTTGTTGTTAAAATCAATAAAACTTTTACCAAAAAAAGAAAAAAAAGAAAATAGACAATAAAAAAACATTTAACAACACTGAAATACAATAGCCAGAAATGAACAAATTAGTTTTTGAAACAAGAATACACTTTATACTGCACCTTTAATAAAAACATAATACCTCAGCGAAATTAAGTCCAGTTGCATACACACTTAAACTATTGAACTTCAAGTAGCTAGAATCAC